CCAAGCAGTCACTGCAGGGTCAGCAATGACTGAGCGCAGACAAAAAAAAAAAATCTTTAAAAAAATCAAATTTCAAGGTGCTTCAGAAACAGTACTCCAAGCCACAGTGCATTAGCAAGCCATATACATTATAAGAGTTCCCCCATTGGGGGGAGATGGGCGGTTGAAAAATTAAATAAATAAAGCAAGCAAGCAAATCATGAAATAGCATCATGATACTAAACAATTAACATAAATAATATTTTAACCCAAAGGGCGTGGCTACAGCACTAATAAAAGCAATGAACGCAGTTGGTTGCTTAAAGCCAAAATTTCCATTCCTGAGCGTGAAAAGGACTGCTCTGCTATTCATAGCCTATCATTTAAAAGGTAAGGAAAAGGAGCACTATTGTTATAAAAGAAAAAAAAGGGTATTTCTATATCATTAATAACTGTATAAAAACATTTAGATTGGGCACTGATATCAGAATTAGCCAAAAAAGAAAAGTATTAATAATTTTTCTTAATAGGTAAAAAAAAGAACATTCTTTTCAAGTAGATATGTTTCTTTTCCAGAATTGTTATTTTTAATTTTTATTTTTAGACTCATTTAAGGGAGGGGAGCAGGGAAGGATTAGTAAACTTGTATATGGAAATGAATTGTTATTTTTGTTATGTCAGTGTAAATGCTGACTTCTAGATAATTAAGTTCTGCATAATGAAAGCATGATATCCATACAGGGGTCATGGAAGTAAAGGAACATTTAGGCAATACATACTCAGTAGCATGAAGGCAAGGAAGCAGATCATTAAGGGAAAAAATGAATGTAAGAGTTGGTCTACTGCTTTCATATGGCCATCAAAAATGTGATGAAGTCACATGAATCTGATAAGAAGTAAGACTTTTAGATATTTTATTTGAAATTGTAAGAATTCATTCTCTCTTCAATACAGAACAGAAAATGAAGGGGAAATAATTTCCTCTTAATTCTTCGGTAATTTTTTCTCCATTCCAAGAGCTCAAGCCAGTGTTATATAATTGGATTTACTTGCACAACAATTGTTTTGTTTCTCACTGTTTTGGTTTGTGACTGTAATTTTTTTTTCACTCATATAGACTGCTCCAAAAACTAAAAATGAGAGTAGCAATCGCATGCCTTTAAACATGGATTTAGCCTGTTAATAGATAAAGTGGCATGGAGAAAACATTTGTAAACCAAATGAGTGCTAAAGTAGTTTTGTACCTGACACTCATAATCCATTTTCCTTCCTTCCAACACTTCTCATAGCAAGTCGATATTACAAGTTACCACTACAGTAGCCAATGTTGTAAATTGCTATGAGCTGGTTTTCCTAGGAGTACATGGGTACAAATTTTAAAAATCGGTAAATAAATATCTAGTCAGAAACAACTTCTGGGAAGCACTGAAACATAGTATGTGCATGCACCCTTTGGAAAATGATTTTAACATCCCAAGTTCTGCAATCCACTCCTTATTTCCAGTGAGAACAGGAGTAGATAAATGTTTAAAGACATGAGCCATGTTTAGACCTCAAATTCTATTACAATAGTTAAATTAAATGTTATAGCCAAAATATGGATTTCTAGCCAGTGTCAGCACCCACGGTAAACAGTATCACAAATATGGATTCAGTGAAGAGACAGTTTAGGCATTTATTTATATAAATAATTCTATAGCATGACTTTGGGTATCAGGATAACAGTAATGTAAATTCTGAAATACATTAGATAATTAAAGTTATTTAATTTCTTGCAGCATATAACCCTAACAGCCCTGATTATATACGAAAGAAGTATAAAATGAAGTTGGAACGGTTCATAGACCATTGTGAACTTATCCCATACCTAGGCATCAAAATGACAAAGCGGTATAAGGAGCCTCAAAATCGACCTATTGACTTTGACCACAAGTTACAGACTTTTTTCTCTCTCAAAGATGTGGACCTAACTTCTCATTAGTCTGAAATAGCAGAGTGATATCTTCATATTTGGCTGTTAAATTATGAGTAGACTAGGTTGTTTCTGGATCCTGCCTAACTACATAATGTATCAGGATAAGTTCATGTCACTGGCTTGTTGCAAGCCTAAACAAAGCAATCCTGTAGCTTCCTATAGGATGGTATGCAAAATGCAGTTTATAGAACTGATAGCTTACAAATATATTTGTACATTTTCATATAGTCCTAAATAATTTTGCAAGGAACTTAGTAATGATTGTTTTTAATTAAGTCTACTTCTAAGAAAATATGTTTATAATTGTGACTGTATTAATATTCTTCAATAATTAAATGAATAGAACTTTAACTGCTTTAAGCTAAATCACTTTAAATTAAATCACTATTGTTTGCCATTACTGGACTCTTAAACATTTAGTGTGTTTATTTAAATGTGAAGTATGTTATATTATATTTGAGATAATATCTTGGCTTTTAGTTATTACTGTGGTGGTTTTAATTTATTACTTTTGCAACTAGTGAAATATTAACTTCTACATGTAGTTACTTGAAAGAATCCACATTCAGGTCATTGCTATTGTTTTTTTCCACACCCCAGTTCTAAATAACTATGAGTAATTTATTTTATTTATTTATTTATTTATTTATTTATTTATTTATTAAACTTGTCCCCGCCCATCTCCC